TATTTTCTAGTTCTATAAACAGTCCATCAAAAACAAATTCCAAAAGTTTAGGAGGGTGGTTCTGGAAATTCAGTATAGGACTAAAAAAAGACATAGATGGTGTTATTAGACACCATCATTTTAGGAAAACAAGTATTACGGTAATTTGCTCTGCTCTAGGCAGCATCATGAATCTACCATGGCAAATGGTGAAAGAAAACACATCAAGAATGCTGGAATACCTTTCTTTATCAGGAGTCACCCACACATAAACCTAATGGAAACAAACTTACAAAAAAAAAAAAGGTTTCTAACTACACTGTCTACACCACACTAAAATCAATTAGTTTAATTCCCTTCTTTTTCCAGTGGAAAGCCACACTCATGGAAGGCTAAATTTTGGTTCAGTGACATAAAAGACTTGACACAGAAAATGCTCATGGAGCACAAAGCACAATCTTCCTTGTGTCCTTCAAGAGAAACACTGAAATTACTGCTAAAGAAGTCTAGGAAACAGTGTATTCTGGTGGTGTCCTCTGTGCAGAGCAGGGACTGGTCACCACAGTAAATTATGATGCTGCTATAAAAATACTGTGCCATGAGTTCCTGCAGTATCCCAGAACGGATCTCTCCTTTCATTCAGGTCTACCACAGTTACCTGTTCCTTCCATACTGTAGTTGAACTTTACATTTTGTAATCAAGATTAAAACAAACAGCTACAGAATTGAACTTATAAATAATTTTTTCCAAAATCTGTCCAAAACTTAACTGTGTTTAATGGATACAGTTCCATCAACAGCTGTTGAAATCTAAGCTGACAGCTTGATTCCTAAACCTTTTCTGTAACAGTAGTGGGAGTATGGAAGTTAGAAGACTCTCAAGATTTATGCAAAGCCAGCAGAGCAGCACACACATATAGGGTGAAATTTGAAGATGTACAGATTTTTCAGAAGCCCAATGAAGCTAAAGGAGAGTAAATTTTGTAAGGGATAGAGTAACTGAAGAAATCACAAAAGCTATAAATGGTCTGGCCCAGACAGTTGTCTTCTCTAACTGCACCTCCTTGTTTTCTCTTTTTGTCCGTTTCTCAATTCATGCTCCTAATTAGGTTTAAATGAGGTGTATCTTCTCCATTTTTGCAAGCCTGACCTACTTAAGAGGGATTAGCAGCACTGTGACATGTCTCCCCTGTTTTAGGAACACTCTGTTGTGTTTTAGGAATGAAGCAACTCTGCCTTGTTTCCGAGCAGAATTTGTCTGAACTGAAAACCTCCTCTGTGTATAATGTGGCTAGAAATGACTTTATAAAGTAAGACTTTTACTCTTTTCATCCTCAAGTTTTTCTTTTCTGGTCCTTTTGAATTCACAGGAACACTCCCATGTGTTTGGAGCCATCATTTTACATGTTCCTCAGCCACTTCATGGAGATCTGTTTTGCCACCCCCTTCATTTGCATATTTGTTGAGGACACAAATATAATTATTTAGCACATTGTCCCACACAATAAAATGTTCCTCAACCTTCCCTTTTGCACATGAACTCTTTATCACATAAATTCTCCTAATTTGGTTCCACCGGATCTCAGACCTCTCTTGGTGTTGGCCAATCACTTCCCCCCCAGTGCCCAATGAGTCTATAGACAAACTAGCATGTTTCCCTCAGCTTTCCCCAGTTCTTACTGAGTAGCAAAGTCCTCTCTGTACTATCTCCTCACAAGGGACCTTCAGTCAAGTCTTGTCAAATAATCTCTACTGCTGTATTTCTTTCTGTTCACTGCATATCTCAGGTCTCAACATCACTAAAATACCTCATCCAGTTTTCAAACTATCCCTTCAGGATGGGCACCGATAAATTAAAGATTTTTTTTTTACAAACCATGAGAATAGCTACAGGATTAGAAAAACTGTCATGAGGAGACTTTGAGTTTAGTCTATGTGTATCCCATGGAAGATATTAGAAGACATAGAAGATATGTGTTGTGTGAGGCTCTTAATCCTCAGCTGACATTGGTTGTGGTGGCAAGAAGCTCATGGCTCAGGCAGGAATCTCTACCATGCTGCAAAGCTGTTGACAAAAATATTCTTTGGTACTATTTGAATAGAGGAGAAACTATCGCTGAGTCATTGGGAGAGGTGACCTACTCTTGAGAAGTAGCAAATGAGGAAAATTGCTGTCGCTGTTTCATTTCTGGATAGTTTGAGTGGTGCTATGGGCAGGCTTGTCTCCCTGCTCAGTGTTGGAGGAACAATGGAAGCCCATAGCTGCTGCTAAACTCCTTCTGACTAGGAGCAAACTTTTGCTTCTGTCTCCAGATGCTACTGCTGAGTCCACATAAGCGTCAATAAATAAAGGCCAGACATATACTCAGGTTTTAAGGAATGGTTTGATCAAAGCCCAGATTCCAATGGAGAAACATGGGAGTAATGTAAAGGAGCCTCATAAATGAGCAACATGTAATAAAATCCAGAGGTGGTAAGTCCTACTGTTTACTGGGGGGGGGGAAGAAAGAGTGTAAATGTTTTAACAACAAGGCTTTTCTACTTTTGGTGTGGCTTGGAAAATTTTTTATCACGATATTTCCAAATTAAGATAGTCTCCAGCCAAACAAAAACTAATCTGTGTATCAGACAGGAAAGCAGCTCAGACCTGTGCAGTGATGTCTTCTTTTTTCTGGTCACTTTACCAGGCTAACTAAGGACGTTGACTGTCCTAATTACTGTTACTTGAGAGTGCAATCTTTCCATTCAGGGACAGGGCTGTTGTTCAGAGGGACCTGGACAAGCCAAAGGAATGGGGCTGACTGGAATCTCATTGAAGTCATGGAAAAACACATAGTTTTGTGTCCAGGGATGGGCTCAGCAATGCACTGGGATAAAGAGGCTGTGTGGCTGGGGCAAAAAGTCCCTTGGGGCCTGAGTGGGCACCTGCTTAAACGTGATCATGCACCTTGAATACGGGGCGCTCCAACGGAAGAAAGACTCATAAACCTTGATCGAGTGCACCGAAACTGCAGCGATGGCGGTGCCGGAGCCCTTGCCCGGTGGCTCTGCTGTCGAGCGAGAGCTGGGGCTTGAGCCGAGGGGCTGTTCCCCGTGAGGGCAGAAGAGCCGCCGGCCGCGGCACCGCCCTCCAGCCCTTTCCCCTCAGGAGGCGGCGGCCGGTTCCCGCCCAAGCCGCCTCG